GGTAGCAGGAGTGTGGCTGTCCTGGAAGTAGCAAGAGTACGACTCCCCGTTTTCTAACACTGGAAGTCTCGGGATGGACAGAGACACCTGAGAGAAATACACAACTGTCATGAGCTGCTGACAACGTGGGACAGACCTGTGGCGTTTCAGGGTCCAGTGAAGGTCATGCCGAGAGTAAGCGATTAAGCTGTCCGAACACATAAATCCTATCTGTTCTTTTGTAAACGTCCATGTGGAATAATTAGATTTGAAAACTAAATTGCACTCCCCGCTGATGGAGCATGAATCATACTGACAAAGGTTTGGTTTTATGTTTGGCTCCAGCTGCTGTGTTGCTCACTCACGTCATGTTTCTGCTCCTGTAGTACCGGGCGTCTCAAGGACAGGCAAAATTAATGCATTAGATACTGTAACAATAACCGCATGAATAGACCTCCATCATAAATACAAAGAGGAGCTGCCAACTAAAACAAACCTCCTGTAAACCAATAGATTTCTGTCAGTTCATCAGAGCTAATCTGTATGAGCTGATAGTTAGTGTTACCACACTGCACGCTCGTGTCACATGAACATCGCATGTACAGAGCTGCTGTGGTCCTTAGCATTGATTCTCAGTTTGAATCCATGGTCTGCCAGACTTGTTGCATTTGGTTATTTTTTGTTATCCACTGGATCAGTGGGCTTTTCTTTAGGCACTTGTATCTCACAGAGGAGAAATGCTGCACGAGGAGCCTGTTACAAAACTAGCTCCCTAATTGGTCAGTATTAAAAGGTGCACCATGTGTGAGCTGCCAGAAGAGAAGATGATCCTCACTGCCACTCCTGTAGCTGTCAGGGCTATCACACCACCAGCTATAGGTACATTTAACTCGTGCAGCTCCATGTTACAATATTATTGTTACATTAGTAATAAATAGTTACATTTCCATTTATATCCTGTAGAACTAGAAACTATTTAGAGCCAGACGAAACCACAGTGTGTCTGTGTTTCTGTCGCTAGGACATGACAGGACAAGCCAGTCACTATCTCTTCTTGATACCCTCACACTTAAACCCACTGACATCGTACCCACATGCCCAGGTACACCAAATCTAGCAGCTCAACTGATAAGGGATAACTTTGGAGTGTTTTGGTATGTGAGGAGACAGAGTGGGGATATCTACAGATTCTGTCATGAAGATTTTCTGCAGAGAAACTTGATGTGGATGATCATGTAGAGGCAACAGAAACCACAAAAAGAAATGTGGATCTGTAAACAAAGACCGTCATCCTCAAATCCGTTCTGTTCTGTTTTGCATCTCGACTAAAGACCTACCATCTTGCTCTCCTCCCTGCTGAGATTGGAGGGGACGAGGTCCTGGACCACCAAACACTGCTGCTCCATGTCAAAACTCCACAACCATTGCCCTGGGTAGCTCCCACGAGCACACTGTGACTGCAACACACACCTGCAGGGAAAGTTAATTATATTCACTGTTTTGCAAGCTGAAGCAAGGCTCCCTAACTCCATTATACATGTCAAAAACACAAGCATCTTGATTTAAACTAAATGTGACTGAACCTGTTAGTAGTGGGAGTGTACAGTGGCAGCACAAAAAGCAAAATTGCTCATCTTGTTCAAATAAGATTCAGTCCAGTAGCTTTTTATTTAAATAGACAGATAAATACTGAAGTAGTTAACGTGCAAACGCTTGTAGGGCAGGTGGTAAGGAGGAGAGAGCAGGGAAGGAGAGTCTGACAGAAGAGAGAGAGGTACTTTAATCATACACAATCCCACCGGAGCAACCGACTTGGCGAAACACTTCAAAAACCAACAAGCTTGCCAGGTGGTTTCTTGTTTGCTACCATTTTCCTCACATGCTTGCACTGATCTTTAAGTAATAAGCAATAAATCTGGCTTATAATACATATCATGATGTAAAACCTGAGCAAACACTGTAAGAAAGTTTGCTTA